GCTCAGAAAAGTCAAAAATAGTGAGATATCTTGCAGAGGGATGCAGCACTCTTAAAATTGCAAAGCTTCTGAAGCGTGATCATCGAACAATCAAGCGTTTCATTCAAAATAGTCAACAGGGTCGCAAGAAGCGTGTGGAAAAACCAAGGCGCAAAATAACTGCCCATGAACTGAGAAAAGTCAAGCGTGCAGCTGCCACGATGCCACTTGCCACCAGTTTGGCCATATTTCAGAGCTGCAACATCACTGGAGTGCCCAAAAGCACAAGGTGTGCAATACTCAGAGACATAGCCAAGGTAAGAAAGGCTGAAAGACGACCACCACTAAACAAGACACACAAGCTGAAACGTCAAGACTGGGCCAAGAAATATCTCAAGACTGATTTTTCTAAGGTTTTATGGACTGATGAAATGAGAGTGAGTCTTGATGGGCCAGATGGATGGGCCCGTGGCTGGATTGGTAAAGGGCAGAGAGCTCCAGTCCGACTCAGACGCCAGCAAGGTGGAGGTGGAGTACTGGTTTGGGCTGGTATCATCAAAGATGAGCTTGTGGGGCCTTTTCGGGTTGAGGATGGAGTCAAGCTCAACTCCCAGTCCTACTGCCAGTTCCTGGAAGACACCTTCTTCAAGCAGTGGTACAGGAAGAAGTCTGCATCCTTCAAGAAAAACATGATTTTCATGCAGGACAATGCTCCATCACACGCGTCCAAGTACTCCACAGCGTGGCTGGCAAGAAAGGGTATAAAAGAAGAAAATCTAATGACATGGCCTCCTTGTTCACCTGATCTGAACCCCATTGAGAACCTGTGGTCCATCATCAAATGTGAGATTTACAAGGAGGAAAACAGTACACCTCTCTGAACAGTGTCTGGGAGGCTGTGGTTGCTGCTGCACGCAATGTTGATGGTGAACAGATCAAAACACTGACAGAATCCATGGATGGCAGGCTTTTGAGTGTCCTTGCAAAGAAAGGTGGCTATATTGGTCACTGATTTGTTTTTGTTTTGTTTTTGAATGTCAGAAATGTATATTTGTGAATGTTGAGATGTTATATTGGTTTCACTGGTAATAATAAATAATTGAAATGGGTATATATTTGTTTTTTGTTAAGTTGCCTAATAATTATGCACAGTAATAGTCACCTGCACACACAGATATCCCCCTAACATAGCTATAACTAAAAACAAACTAAAAAACTACTTCCAAAAATATTCAGCTTTGATATTAATGAGTTTTTTGGGTTCATTGAGAACATGGTTGTTGTGCAATAATAAAATTAATCCTCAAAAATACAACTTGCCTAATAATTCTGCACTCCCTGTAGTGTCCCTTTAAATTTGAAATTCACATCTCACATTAGTAAATAACCTTGTATGTGAATACAATAAACCACAGAATATTTAACAACCAAATGCAGTATAATTGAGCCAAATGCAAACAGCTGAAAGTGCAAAAATAAATTTGTGGTTTAGTGAATAAACTCTTATGTATGTATAAAGTATGCTAATTTCAAAAACATTAGGCAAATAGAAGAAATAAATTACATTTCCAGTTAACATAATGTGTTATGTTACAGTATTTTCCTTGAAGCTCATGTGTCTTATTGTTTTTAATTTTATAAAATGTAGTCATTCCAAATGAATTTTGCAATCTTCCATGTATTTTGTGGTTTAACACAATAACTGAGGAGAGCATTCCTAAAAGCCACATTCAGCTCTGTTTGCAGTAACATGAACTTACACAGTCACATGCCTCACGCACAAAACCTCAAACATCTTATCCAGCAGTACCGTGACACCAAACAGTCAAATTCATTGAAATATCTTTTAGATGAAAGTTCAGTTATATTTTCAAATAGAAACAATTTAAATTATCCACCTGGATGTTGTGTTCCTTTGCAAAGCTATTTTTACCAAGAGTTTAAGAGGGCAGCTGCACAAAAAGAAACCACGGCTGGTGCCCACATAAGTCCCAGTTGCCCAGTTTTATGGCAGCTGGTGGCCTCACTGAATTTATTACTTCTTATGCATCATGAGTTGGGTCCATGTAACACGAATCACACATGTATTAATAGGTTTGTCACTGTATGTATTGTACAAAATAAACTTAAATAACACATGTAATTAAAAAATATATATCTTAAAGGAACATCAATGCACCGTAACCACTGTAGTCCACACTAAAGGTTATATCTCAAGGACTAACTTGTCAAGCAGTTTTAGAATGGTTTGGCAAATTACCTGGGTCGTGTCTTGACAAATTACTCTGGAATGGTGCTAGTGGACTGTAGTGATTATGGTGCTTGGTGTGTACCTTCTGTATATTGTACACCATCAGTATTTTTATACATGTGTGCTGCCCTTCTCTGTCTTGAAAAGTAACAAACTGTTGCAAAATAGTGAAAACTGGCTGGGATAACTAACAGACTGACCCATAACACAAAAATATGCCTGTGAAAGCTTAGAGCAAGCATGTCCAACTTGCAGCCCACGGGCGTGTGGCCTACAAAGAATATATTTGCGGCCCGTCTGGGGCCACTTTGTGCTGTGGCTGCGACCAGCCACAAGACGGGAAAGATCTTTCCTGTCTGATTCTTGTTTTCCCTCCCACGGCCACAAGACGGCAGAGCAGGCCAGCCACTCCTTTCAGTCCTGCTTGCAGTGCCAGAGGATCATCTGGCCTGCTTGAGTAGAGAAGAGCAGGGTTGGAGCTGGAGGATGGGTGGCTCATCTTAGGGTCTTAGGCGACCTTCCTGTGTAGTGTGTTAAATTGGGGAGGGAGCAGAATATTAATTTGGGGGAGGGGCAGTGTATTAATTTGAGGGAGGGAGGGGGCAGTGTATTAAATTGGTGGGGGTGGGCAGTTTATTCATTTGATGGAGGGAGGAGGCAGTTTATCCATTTGGGAGAGGGAGGGGGACAGTGTATTAAATTGGGGAAGGAGTTGGGCAGTGTGTTAAATTGAGGAGGGCAGTGTGTAAAATTGGGAGAGGGCCAGTGTATTAATTTGAGGGAGGGGGCAGTGTATTAATTTGGGGGAGGGAGTGGGGGTGTATAGTAGAGGTGGGAAGGGGCAATGTGTTAAATGGGTGATAAAGGGGGGCAGTGTATTAAATTAGGGGAAGGAGGGGGGTGGTATATTAGCGCGTGATAATGGGCAGTGTATTAGAGTGGTGGGAGGGGGCAGTGTGTTAAATGGGGGGGAGCCGTGTATTGGAGTGGTGGGAGAGGGCAGTGTGTTAAATTGGGAGGAGGGAAGTGTATTAATTTGGGGAGGAAGGGGCAGTATATTAAATTGGGGAAGGAGGGGGCGGTGTATTAGAGTGGTGAGAAGGGGGCAGTGTGTTAAATTGGGGGGGAGCAGTGTATTGGAGTGGTGGGAGGGAGCAGTGTATTAAACTGTGGGAAGGAGTGCAATGTATTAAATTTGAGTGGTGGGAGTGTATTCAATTAGAGTGGAGGGAGGAGGGGCAGTGTATTAGATTGGGTGGAGAGGGCAGTGTTTTATATTGGAGGGAGGGGAGACAGTGTATCTGAATTGGGGGCCAATGTATTGGAACTGTGGGCAGTGTATTAGAATGGGGGGAGGGGGCAGTGTATTAGATTGGGTCTGCATTGAGGCACTGAAAGCTCCCCATGGAGATGCCCATTGGTCGCGTAGCTTTTTGCCACACATGCACAATAGATTCGATTGGTTTGATAATCGCAGCAAAAGAAGAAGAAGAACACACTGATAGGACTTCCAAATCAACAAGATAATGTCATTTGTTTTTTACAGCTGTGCAACAGCATACATTCACCATTTCAGTCCCATTACCAAACTCTTCTTAATATGTCAAGGTAGTTGGACTGAAACATTAGTTATATGCAAATGCTGGTCTTCAAATAAATTAACTATTTTGTTTACTTTGAAGCCTTACGAGTGTGAGGACGTCCAGTGTCAGTTAGGTCACTTTTTTTTACTGTACTATTCAAAATAAACCTTTTGTTTATTTTATGAAAAGTAAAGTTGTTGTTTTTTTCACATCAATGTAAACCTTGTTTATTTGGTCCGTTTTAGCCTTTGAGTTGACATGCTTTGAATACTGTCACTTTTCTGTAAATTACACCATTAATTAAAACATTGAATGCAACCTATATCTTGTGTTATCCATTCCTCACTTATTGACATTTTCTTTTAAATGTATATTACAGATTTAGCAAGTGACATCACAATCCAGTTCAGTCTAGGCACAGCCGAGGCACACTATGTAAATGGGGATGGCAACATAAACATTGTTTCTGTACATCTTCTACCACCTACCATTTCATTGGCAGAAAAGAACATTCATAATGATTATTGGCAACATGGCTATTCAACATGAAAAGATTGAATGGTTTCACCTGCCTTTTGTGCTTATATAATTTCATTAACTATACAGTTAGGTAAGAACTCAACATGATAAATTATTAACATGAACTATGCTCAAATTATCTGAGCAAAATGTTCAGCACATGAACATCAAAGCTCCGTCATCACAGTTATAAAGAGCTTCAAGAAGCTGATTTCAGAATAGAATTGTCCTTATCAGATTAATTTAAAAGAACACTTTGGGGGGGCAGGGCCTGACCGCTGAACAGCAAAGACGCTCAATACAGCAGCTCCTGCATGCACCAGCACATGACGCTAAATATTGACAGATTAAAGCTACACCTCGACAAATACTGGCCAGCAAGCAATAGAGAAGCTTACAATGACCGTGCAGATACCAAACAAGTAGACTTTCCTGCAGAATTCACCCGCTTGCTGTCTGCGGCCTACAAGCATGGCTGGCGCGGGGGAGACGGCCGTTCTCCCGCCGCCACAACACGCTGGAAGCTCGAGTCTGGGCCCCTGTTCTCCCCCTTTGGGCCAACGGCGGTTATCCTGGCCCCAGGAGACAGTCCCCACTCCCTAAAGTGCCCAGATCAACAGAGGCTTTGTGCCCCATTAACAAGAGAATTCTCGGGCAGGCCCACCGGAATGGCAGAACCTACCTCCACATCGGAGCGCTTGGATGCCATCTTCGCAGCTTTCCTGGCCCACATGGCAGAGAAGCAGAGAGACCTTCCAGGGTCTCCAACTCATCCATCTCCTACCGATGACTGTGGAGGAGCCCCAGCAGGGCTGCCGGCAAGTAACGTAACGGTCGGTCTGGACTCAGGCTGGAATATGCCCTCTCCTGAGGCTGGAAGCCGCTCTACCCACCGGGCGGCTCACCCCACTGGGCGGACAGCACCTCGAGGCACTGCCTCCCTGCACCTGCCGCGCAAATGGCGGATCATCTGTCGTAAACGGATACCTCCACGACCCTCTACATACCCAAGGCGGGGGAAGGACTCGGCCCAAATAACACAGCATGGCACTACTACAGATAGCCGGAGAGTAAGAGGAACAGCTATCAAGCCAGGGCTCACATATCAGCCATAACCCTCCTCCTCTCCACTCCAGGTGCTGATCAACTGCAGCAGCCCAACGGATTTTTTGGCGAAGTGCCGACACTTACAGCTCAGGACACCGCTCTGGTCCCTGCCTCGACGGACTATAGCACACAGCACCAACAGATTACCACTGCAGGCATAGGATGACTCCAGGCAGCAAAGTGGACTTCCCCACACTGTAATACTACTGTATTGGGGACAGCTCCTGCATTACTGCTTGTCCACAATATACTCAAATACATGTTACAGGCAGCCAAGCAAGAACTTTAAGCAAGTACTGATTTGTTCCTTCATTTTACTATTAACCTTTCACACTCCTCTCACCAGTTATGCTCTCCCTAATCTAAGCACTCCACAGTGACATACCAACACTCTCTGTCAGTTCAGACACCTCACTCTTCCTACTACTCCTGCCTGCTACCTTACTGACAGTATGACCAAGCAGGGTTTCTATACGTAAAACTCTCTCTCCTATAGCACACAGGTGGCTGTCTGAGTGACAACCAATGCAGGAGACAATATTAGAGACAAATGTAAACACTGCCTTGTCACAGAACAGTCGTTTACAATTTTTGGACTGCAGGGTAAGTCTGTTTGCACCAAGACCACTACATTAAGCTATAATGGTTCTGATACATAAAGTTTCCCTTTAAATTCCACATAAACATCTTGCTTTTACCATAGAATTCCCTCCAAAAATATAGATTGTTTTATTGTTTTTTTTTAAATTTATTCTGTACTCACAATACGATAAGTAGCCAACCAACTGGTAAGAAATATTAGAAACAAATTTTTTTAAAAAGGTTCAATGACTGACTCATGAATCGCCGCTTTCCCTTTTATTTCCTTCTCACTCTTCCATTCCATTGTTTATTTACCTTGGAAATGGCATACTGCACTGACAGAGTATCAAACATCTGGAGCGTCATACATTTGCAATCTATTTTTCTATACTGTAGCTGAAGTTGAACTATTCAGATCCCTGGAAAGTTGAATATTCCCTCAAGCGATTATGCTGGACTGCTGAGAGTTTGGTTGTAGGACAGGATATCCAGCTATTCAGTGCTGAAGTCACAGGTGGCCCCATTTTGCAGCTGCAAAATGTTTCCTGCTATGGGGTTAAGGGACTCCAAAGGAAGAAATGTTTCTTTCCTGCTATATGTTTTCATGTGCAGAGGAAGACACAGTAATGCCAGAGAGTATTTGCCTACGCAGCACTTTTGAACTGTACTGTAGCAAAATAGCACAAGAAACAAATTGTTAGAATTCTATAAGAATTAACGCGCCTAGATGCACTATAAAATAATTGTTACTACTATAAAGAGGAATTGTTTTTTTCTGAATAATAGTATTCTCGTGTACAATTAGATAATGGCGTACTATGAAAGGCATGAATGAATTGCTTTGTCATTTTGGTTTCATGGGTCAATGTATATACACGAAGCAGTTACAATTCGCTCGTTTGTTTTTAAAAATGATGTCTCGTCATTGTAAACTATGCAATTATTCACCATTATTTGCAGCGAAAGACAGGTGTGCTGGATGAGGAAGATGCTTACTTTGAAGCTGTCGTGTTGTCATTTTCTGCTACTACCAGCAGCGGCAACAGAGTGGAGTAGCTGTGGTTTGGGCTGAGGCTGTTGTGGCTGTTGGCAGTTTGTTGGGGAGAAAGTGAATCAGCAGGCAGCCAAAATGAGACTATTAAAGGACCACTATAGTGCCAGGAAAACATACTCGTTTTCCTGGCACTATAGTGCCCTGAGGGTGCCCCCACCCTCAGGGTCCCACTCCCGCCAGGCTGGATGGCGAGGAAAGGCTTAAATCTTACCTTTTTTCCAGTGCTGGGCGGGGAGCTCTCCTCCTCCTCTCCGCCTCCTCTCCTCCTCTTTGGCTGAATGCGCATGCGAGGCAGGAGCTGCGGGTGCATTCAGCAAGTCTCATAGGAAAGCATTCATAATGCTTTCCTATGGATGCTGGCGTCTTCTCACTGTGATTTTCACAGTGAGAAGCACTCAAACGCCTCTAGCGGCTGTCAATGAGACAGCCACTAGAGGCTTTAGAGGCTGGATTAACCCATTTATAAACATAGCAGTTTCTCTGAAACTGCTATATTTATTTAAAAAAAAGGGTTAATCCTAGAGGGACCTAGCACCTAGACTACTACATTAAGCTGAAGTGGTCTGGGTGCCTAGAGTGATCCTTTAATGACTCTTAAATGGTCAGAGAGTACTTGTGTGAACATGCTTTGAGGACCTGCTGAGTTGTCGACATGAAAAGAAGAATGTGTGAACTGTCTTGTCCAGGACCAATGTCCAAACTGAGCGAGTGTTTTCTCTTTCAGGGAACATGCTGAATAACGAGCACCCACAAATGTCCATGAGGCTGGTGGAGCAAAAAGCCTTCCTTAATTTCAGTCTCACAAATTGGTACACCGTCACCGTGATATTTAAGGCGTTGTCATCTGCTAGCTGAGATCCCATTGGCCACTCAACTCTCTTTGCAGAGTTGTTTAAAAATGTATTAAAGTATTCTAAAATGTGGTGATCAAAATAACATTGTCCTGCTGCCCCCATGGTTTCACCTGTTTTCAAATGACTTTCATGGTAGTAATTCTGACCTGCCTATTGAGTTTTGCAGCACCTGCAATCTTCGCAGAAGCAGTTGGTAGAAGATGATAGGGCAATATGATTATTCCTCACTAAAGGATGGTCACACTAGGGACTGTATGTGTGGGAAAGCTTTGGTCTTGTCAAGGCAGAAGGGGTGAGTGGGTGGTCAATTCCACTGACTTTTTCTTTTCGTTTAGGATAAATCTCCTATTTTCAACTTAAAATTACTCCTGCTCCCCATTTTTCATTAATACAACATAGCAAAAGAAAAAAAAGAGTACATTCATATCAATCATTTTAACCCCTTAAGGAAACATGACATGTGTGACATGTCATGATTCCCTTTTATTCCAGAAGTTTGGTCCTTAAGGGGTTAAAGTTAACACATTCTCTCACATCCCATTTTTTTTTTACAATTGTTCTTTTGTCAAGTTTAATTAGAACATCAAGGAAATACCAGCAGTTGGAAAATACATTTCTGCATTAGAAAAATAGTCAGTATATGAAACCATTTATTCAATTGTAGCAATACCTTAAAAAACATCAGTGGGCCTAGGGGTATATCCCAGTTCGATATGAGTTGTATTAAGCCTAACCCTAGGCATCCATCTAACCAGCAGCTCCTGACAGTCCAAACCAGTCAAAGGGGTCTAGGGGTAAAAAAGGAGGGAAGATAAAATGAAGAGAAGGGGAAAAAAATAATTTCAAGGACAGGGAGGAGAAAGAGGATTATTGCCCAACCCCATAAGAGTGTGCCATTAAAACGCTTTACATCAAGGCGCTGTAACCCACTTGAAGCAAGAAAAGGCCCGTTTACACCCCCCACTTTCCCAAAGTGAGCCGCAAAGTCTAACCATGGGAGCCATATCTCATGAAATTACTCTTCCCTGCATAAAGGCTTGCATTCATGCCCTACGCAGCCTTTAAAAGTCTCATGGGGATCGTCTCCATGAAGTATGGATTCCAAGGGGATACTTTCATTTTGACGGTGCTAAGCCAACCAAACCTGTATGCATAAAGCTTGCTCCAGGATCTCAGGTCTGACAGAAGAGATCCAAGAAGCAGAAAAAAATGTCTGGGTTTTTGTTGGTCTGGGTTATTATGGATTCTACTTAATAACGTTCAGACACCAAATTAAAACAGTGGCGTCACTAGGGTTGGTGTCACCTGGTGCGGTAACCCCCTTAATAATGTGTACGCTCTAGTGGTTCTGGTGACTACAGTGTCCCTTTAATGTGAGGTAAATTAGAGATTAGTGCCACTAATAATATACTGGATTGCCTACTTACCACCAGATGAGGACAAGAGGATGATGATGGGCTCAGGCTGCAGTCTGGCTCCACTGGTCTAGTGTAGAACACGCTCTCTGGAGGCTGTTTGTAACAGTGCTCACAAAAATCAACGAACAGGAAGCAACTCAATTTTTTGGGGCCCCTTACACAGCTCAATGTCTGGGTTCCCAGGGCATGACCATAAATCCACCTACATGGCCCACCCATGAGTTCGCTCACAGGGAGTGGAGTGTATGTATGTAAGGGATGTGTTGTGTGTTATTGTAGAGGATGTAATGTGTGTGTTTTTATGGAATGTAGTGTATAGGGATACCAATTTGTGTAAGGGATGTAGTGTGTGTGTATAGGGGATGCAGTTTGTGTTTGCGTGTAACAAATGCATTGTGCGTTTCTGTGTGTGTGTGTGTGTGTAAGGGATGCATTGTGCGAATCTGTGTTTGTATGTGTAAGGAATGCAAGGTGTGTTTCTATGTATGTAATGTAATGCAGTGTATGTGTCTGTAAGGGGTGCATTGTGTGTTTTTGTATGTAAGGGATGCAGTGTGTGTGTGTGTGTGTAAGGAATGCATTGTGTGGGTGTGTAATGGATGCATTGTGTATTTCTGTGCAAGTGTAGGATGCATTGTGTGTTTTGGTGTGTCTCTGCGATTAGTGCTGTTGAGTACGCCGTTCAATGTCTGGGTGAAGGCATTTCATGTTCCCGGGGTGTTCAATGTGGTGGCTGACTCTCTGTCTTGGTTTCAGTGGGACCGGTTCCGAGAGGCGGCGCCTGGAGTGAATCAAGTGGGTCG